AGTGAGGATGACCACCCACGCACGGTAACCCACGCCCGCGATTATTGATGAACTAAAAGACTTCGCTAATGCTTTCCTTTCCCCTGGTTTAAATAACTGGGTGGAATTAGTATCCTCGCCCCGGGCTTACGCCCGTAACGGCACACCGCGCAACTCCGCGTCGTTGGCTTAGGGTTAGATATGCGCAGTAAATATGCGCAATGAAAAACTGAGGAATTACCCAAATTGTGATTTACTGATAAATGGTGGCGTATTGTTTTATTTTAATGTAAAAGCGTCTTACCTGTAACTGGCCCTGACTGTTGAAGCAGGAGAATATTCTCTTCCTTAACACCTGATTCTATCAAATTGAATTTAAAATAGTCGAATTAGGTAAAATATCATCGTGTAACTTAGCACTCTTGACACGATTGTAGTGATAAGCCGTGTTGGTGTTATAGCTACAAAAACGCTCTCTAATATGAATAACTAGAAAAAAATAACTGGAAAAAGAAATTAAAGTAGAAAATAAACTAAGATTGGACCGAGAAAAACAAAAACAATTTCTCAAAGAATAATTATTACTTGTTTCGCCTTCCTTCTTATCAAGCTTTTGAGCTTTTTGAATATATTTAATCGCCATGTCAGTATTCCCAATGTTGAACCAGGCAGCTCCCAAACCAGTAAGAGCCTTCTGATGCAAGAGGTGATCACTGGGCTCTTTTTCAAAAATATCCAACGCCATTTTGTACCATTCTATTGCCTTTTCGTAATTACAATCTCCAGAACAAGCTGATGCCAAAGCTAAATATAATGTTCCTAATCTCTGAATTGCGACTACTTCCATTTCTTTGTCCTCCAATTCTTTACTGATATTTAAAATTTTTTTGAAATATTCATTTGCTTTCTCGTGTTTTTTCAATTGTTGGAAGGTGTCACCGAGCATAAGACAGGCGTTAGCTTCTTCTTTTCTTTCACCAAGATCATGAGAAATTTCTTGAACTTTGAAATACGATTCGACAGCAGCATCAAACTTACAACTCTTGTAATATACATATCCCAAGTTTGTATGTGCTTCCTTTTGAAGAACTTTGTCATTCACCTGTTCTGCTGCTGTGAGAGCTTTCAAGAAATACTTTCGCGAGAGCTCAAAGTTATCAGTATACCTAAATGCACTTCCTAATCCTAGGTAAGCGTTAAGCGTAAGCGTTCTGTTTTTGTTTCCAAGCTGTGAAGCATGTTTTACCACTTCGTTGTAACACTCTATGCATTCTTGATACAGACCAGCTTGCAAGTGGTTGTCACCTAGCCATTGATATGCTATTACTTCCATCTCATCTCCCTCAAGGTCTGGAGATATTTTACGTGCTTTCTTATAATATTTGATTGCTTTCTTGCACTCGGAAATTCCAGTAAATACGTTTCCCAAGCCTTGATAAGCTTTAGCTTTGATGTCATTGTGATCTACTTCATTCGCAATTTGAACTGCTTGTTCGTAGCTTTTGACAGCCTCCTCACTTCGGCCTTCCGTTTGGTAAGAACGTCCCAAGATCAATAATTGTTCTGCTGACGCAATTCTATCATCAGTAACACTTTCGTTTTCGATGTCTGTTTGGTTCACACTATTGAACTGTTGAGCGTCGTCTGACGTATAGGATATTTTAATACTATTAGTATCATAGTTTTCATCGACTGCATCTAAATCTAAGATTGAAAATACAGTCATATTAACCCATGCTTGCAGAATTGTTCTCAACTATTTAACTTCAAAGCAAGAAGAGAGTTCGATAAATAGTTTGTTATGATTTACCTAATTAGTAAGAAATAATATTTACAGGTATGTAGAAAGGCGAATTAAGACGAATTATTCTTCTTCGAGCATTCTAAGACTACCAAAGGTTTAATTAGTTCAGTATTTCAGAAGGAATTCATGACATTTTTGGGTGTTCATTTTGGTTTTTAATTTTCTTTTTTTAATTTTTCTTCTGAGTTTTTCCAACAAATCAGTTGTCATACGAGGTGTTGAAAATTCATCATATTCAAATAAACGTTGTCAGCTACTTGGGACACTGAAGACAAAACATAAAACTATAATGTTTGTGAAAATCATTGGACAATTTTTAATTACCTCAGTCAGTTTCTTTCAACTGTATATAGCCTCACGCCTACTGGTTGAGTTGTTTTTTTAAAACCCGACAGATGTTCTAGACACAATTAAAGCTCTCTGTCAACATGAAACTTTTTACCCAGCGTGTTTATCTGTAGCTGCGCTTTGGCGGTTTGACCGTTTAACGAGCTCGGGCTATATTTTTCGGATTCATACATGACCTCCGATAATATCTTATTGAATTTTAAATATTTAAAAATTGATCTTCAACGGAAATCAATATATTTCTGCTAATTTGCAAAAAAATTGAAAACTACAAACAACTCAAGTGCCAGATTGAACGTATTATTTTTGAAATAACTGCAACCTTATCAACCTATAACACTCATAGACATTAAAAAATCATCGCCAAATTTACAACTTTGCGCCCAGGGACTTCTCTTTATATATAAGGAAAGGAAACCATGGTAGAAGCTGGTCATTGTGATCTGCTAAAATCTAGCAGATTTTTTGTCATGTTTATTGGAGCAAACAATACTTGTACACATGCCAAAAGTCAACTAGTGCATTCCCACCTCTCCCGGCCCAAATTTACATAACAACGCTTATTAAAAATTTGCTAGATATTAGAATATCACGTGACCAGCCCCTGCCAGGGTCTTTCCTGGCCGAGAAAAGAGGCCCTAGGTACGAGCTGGTTGCTAAGCTTACCTGTAATTTTTGACAATTTTTTAATTGCATTTCTTGTCAAGTTCTCTAGATGTTTATATCCTCGTTCTTTTGTAATTTCCAAGGCTTTTTCATGGTGTTCCATTGCCTTTTGAATCTGATTCTTCAATGTATAAGAAACTCCTAATCTAAGGTACGCGCTTGTTTCCTCTCGTTTATATCTTCGTTCTTTTGCATTTCCCTAGGCTTTTTCATAGTATTCCATTGCCTTTTGAATCTGATTGTTCAATCTATGAGCATCTCCTAACGCAAAGTAAGCGCGCGTTTCCTCTAGTTTATATCCTCGTTCTTTGACAATTTTCAAGGTTTTTTCATAGTGTTCCTTTGCCTTTTAAATCTGATTGTTCAATCTATAAGCATGTCCTAACTCAATGTAAGCGTGTGTTTCCTCTAATTTATAACCTCGTTCTTTTGCAATTTTCAACGCTTTTTCATAGTATTCCATTGCCTTTTGAATCTGATACTTTAATCTATAAGCTTCTCCTAACCCAAGGTATGTCTTTGTGTCTCGTAGTTTATATCCTCGTTCTTTTGCAATTTTCAACGCTTTTTGATAGTATTCCATTGCCTTGTGAACCTGACTGTTCAAACTATAAGCTTCTCCTAACCCAAGGTATGTTTTTGTTTCCTCCGGTTTATATCCTCGTTTTTTGGCAATTTCCAAGGCTTTTTCATAGTATTCTATTGCCTTTTGAATCTGATCGTTCAATTTATAAGCTTCTCCTAACCCAATATATGTCTTTGTTTCCTCTTGTTTATATCTTCGTTTTTTTGCAATTTCCAAAGCTTTTTCATAGTATTCCATTGCCGTTTGAATCTGATTGTTCAATCTATAAGCTTCTCCTAATCCAATATATGTCTTTATTTCCTCTTGTTTATGTCCTCGATTTTTTGCAATTTCCAAGGCTTTTTCAAAGTATTCTATTGCCTTTTCAAGCTGATTGTTCAATCCATAAGCTTCTCCTAACCCAAGGTATGCGCATGTTTCCTCTTGTTTATATCCTAGTTTTTTTGCAATTTCCAAGCCTTTTTCGTAGTATTCCATTGCCTTTTCAACCTGATTGTTTAATCTATAATCATCTCCTAACCCAATGAATGCGAATGCTTCCTCTTGTTTATATCCTCGTTCTTTTGCAATTTCCAAGGCGTTTTCATAGTGTTCCATTGCCTTTTGAATCCGATCGTTCAATCTATAAGCTTCTCCTAACCCAAGGTAAGCACATGTTTCCTCTTGTTTATATCCTCGTTCTTTTGCAAATTTCAAGGTTTTTTCATAGTATTCCATTGCTTTTTGAGTCTGATTGTTCAATCTATAAGCTTCTCCTAACCCGAGGTATGTTTTTGTTTCCTCTTGTTTATATTCTCGTTTTTTGGCAACTTCCAAGGTTTTTTCATAGTATTCTATTGCCTTTTGAATCTCGTTTTTCAATCTATAAGCACGTCCTAACCCAAGGTACGCTTGTGTTTCTTCTAGTTTATATCCTCGTTCTTTGGCAATTGCCAAGGCTTTTTCATAGTATTCCATTGCCTTTTGAATCTGATTGTTCAATGTATAAGCTTGTCCTAAACCAAGGTTTGTCTTTGTTTCCCGAAGTTTATATCCTCGTTCTTTTGCAATTTCGAAGGCTTTTTCATAGTATTCGATTGCCTTTTGAACCTGATTGTTGAATCTATAAGCATCTCCTAACCCAATATATGTCTTTGTTTCCTCTTGTTTATATCTTCTTTGTTTTGCAGTTTCCAAGGCTTTTTCATGGTATTCCATTGCCTTTTGAATCTGATCGTTCAATCTATAAGCTTCTCCTAGCCCAATATATGTGTTTGTTTCCTCTTGTTTATATCTTCGATTTTTTGCAATTTCCAACGCTTTTTCATAGTATTCCATTGCCTTTTGAATCTGATTGTTCAATCTATAAGCTTCTCCTAGCCCAATATATGTATTTGTCTCCTCTTGTTTATATCCTCGATTTTTTTCAATTTCCAAGCCTTTTTCAAAGTATTCTATTGCCTTTTCAATCCGATTGTTCAATCCATAAGCTTCTCTCCTAACCCAAGGTATGCGCATGTTTCCCGTTGTTTATATCCTCGTTCTTTTGCAACTTCCAAAGCTTTTTCATAGTATTCCAGTGCTTTTTGAATCTGATTGTTTAATCTATAAGCTTCTCCTAACCCAAGGTATGTCTTTGTTTCCTCTGGTTTATATTCTCGTTTTTTTGCAATTTCCAAGGTTTTTTGATAGTATTCCATTGCCTTCTGAACCTGATTGTTGAATCTATAAGCATCTCCTAACCCAAGGTACGCGCGTGTTTCCTCTAGTTTATATCCTTGTTCTTTTGCAATTTCCAAGGCTTTTTCATAGTATTCCATTGCCTTTTGAATCTGGTTGTTCAATCTATAAGCTTTTCCTAATCCAATGTATGTCTTTGTTTCCTCTTGTTTATATCCTCGATTTTTTGCAATTTCCAAGGCTTTTTCATAGTATTCCATTGCCTTTTGAATCTGATCGTTCAATTTATAAGCTTCTCCTAACCCAATATATGTCTTTGTTTCCTCTTGTTTATATCTTCGTTTTTTTTCAATTTCCAAGGCTTTTTCATAGTATTCAATTGCCGTTTGAATCTTATTGTTTAATCTATCAGCTTCTCCTAATCCAATATATGTCTTTATTTCCTCTTGTTTATATCCTCGATTTTTTGCAATTTCCAAGGCTTCTCCAAAGTATTCGATTGCCTTTTCAATCTGATTGTTCAGTCTATAAGCTTTTCCTAACCCAAGATATGCGCATGTTTCCTCTTGTTTATATCCTCGTCCTTTTGCAATTTTCAAAGCTTTTTCATAATATTCCATTACCTTTTCAATCTGATTGTTCAATCTACAAGCTTTTCCTAACCCAAGGTATGTCTTTGTTTCCTCTTGTTTATATCCTCGTTCTTTTGCAATTTCCATGGCTTTTTCATAGTATTCCAATGCCTTTTCAATGTAATTGTTCAGTTCATAAACTTCTCCTAACCCAAGATATGCGCATATTTCCTCTGGTTTATATCCTCGTTCTTTTGCAATTTCCAAAGCTTTTTGATAGCATTCCATTGCTTTTTTAATCTGATTGTCCCATATACAGGCAGCACCTAACTCAATGTTTCCCTTGGACTCCTTCTTTCCATCTTGCAGTTCCTTGGCTATTACCAAGGTTTTCTCCAAGTTTATAATTGCCAGTTTAAACTGATGGCTTTGTCTATAAGAGAGTCCGGCGTTGAGGTACTCATCTATGAGCTCATGTTTGGTTGGTGCAGTATTCCCCATTCTTATATAATGCTGGTGCAAGCTAACCGGTGCTGGTTTTTCTTTGATTACAGAACGTATAAATAAGATATTTAAAACCACATCCTTCTTTTCAACTGGAATCTGTTAAGATAAATCCGTGTTGTTTTTAAAGTGTATATACGACATGAAATTTCTTGTTTTCTTAAATGAAAGAACTCTTTAAGTTGTAGTGTAACTTACTTTTCAGTTTCTTGTTTTTATGGTTTGTTCCCGAGTTATTTCAGTTTGTTTGATATGTAAATCAGTGTGAATATGTCCACTAATTTATGACGTCACGTTGCATGGTTACAAGCTCCTCAAAATGGTTGAATATCACTGCTATCTTCCAAGATGATAATTTCAAACTTCACTCACTGGTAACTAGTGTTGTAGTTGAGCTAGCAACCAACGTGACATCATAAATTAGCGGACGGAAGTTCTTTGTATGTTTGCATGGCGATAAAACAAATTATTTAAATTTGTTTAAATTGAAATATCTCGGGAACAAACCATAAAAACAAGAAACTGAAAAGTAAGTTACACTACAGCTTAAAAAGTTCTTTCATTTAATAAGAAAATAAGAAATTTCATGTCATATACACTTTAAAAGCTATTTTACGTTTAATGTTAATTAAGCAGAGCGTGGTTGTCCAATTCGCCCGAGCCAGATACTCATTAAACTACTGCTTAGCAGGTAAGATTTACCGATTACGTTTTGGTGAAACGGAATGGTTTTCCATTTAATTTGTTTCACACCCTATAAAATTTATTATTCCGGTTGATAATGTCGCAGAGGAGCATGCCAATTCAAACAATCCAGGTGATTCAATGTGAAAAAGGTGCACAAGAAGGAGAAATCAACATTATTTTGGCAATGAAACCAATCATTAGGAAAAGCAAAAATGTTTGAAATTTTTCATATTTTACGTTTTCATCAAACGGACATTTAAGATATGATTAAAACTATGTTACCGCAATTACTTTCCGTCGTCCTGTGTTACGGAAATAACCTTGACCAAGAGTTGGTTTCAAAAATGCTATATGCAGGATCTGTTTATATATATAAGTCGTGCAGGAGACCGGAAAACTGCTATAACTTTACGCAATACGCACGTTTGATCATACAGGGTATTATGTGTTGTGGACCTATACTATTTTTAAGTTCAAAGACTGTGATTGCTGTATAGTAGTTCGTTAAACGTTTAGGGTGGGAAAGACAATCCTGTTGCTTTAACGATTCGTAGCTGTGTCTTATTTTAATTCGAGTGTGAATTTTATGCATTTATTAAGGCCCGTTAATTTACATTTACACTTGCATTTTACAAATACATCAATCTTATTTTAATAATCTTATTTTTTGTGTCTTATTCACTATAGAGCGCCGAATTTATATTAAGCAGTGAAAGAAGTCTGATCCCTTTTTTAGAATCATTCTCCTGCACAAAATTTCTATACTAAACAGAAGTTTTAAAACAAAGAAGAAGTCCAATTAACGATTAAGAGATGCAGAGCAGACAAGAATGGTTTAAATTGCTGAATTAGCATTTTTAAACAAATTTGGTCAGCGATCATTCCGTAACGAGTGCCACGCTTCATAAAATAGCTTTGTTCGTGTTATGTAGGACAAATATGTGGTGGTATAATTATAAAATTTTAATGAAAGTTTTTCCTGACAATGCATAATGTTATCGAGAGAATAACGTGCGGCAATCTTGATTGTTAGAATTGGCATGCTCGTTTATGATTTTATCATTTTCTAAGAAGGCCTCACGATCATAGAAATTGCGCCGACACATTGTAAGTTAAGATGAGCTACCTCACTTACCTGAGCATGCGTAGAATGTATACATACTGACGCATACTGAATATTAATGAGGAAGACTGCTAAATTATTTTAATATATAGCCGGCAAAGTTTTTGATATACTAGCTGGTATTCAATTTCGAGAATAAGAGAAAGTTAAAAACCAAGAAAAACTATTATAGGTGAATCAAGCATAATTAAGAACTATACATAAAGATTAAAGTCAGGGCCGCCGAGAGAGGGGGGGGGGGGTTT